TCTGGCATAACTCAACTTCTACTTTTCACTTTACTAATTCCTGCATTTTACCTATTCTTCTGCATTGTCCCCCGCTGATCTTTCCTGGTCTTCTAAAAAGGACTATGTCATATTGCATAGGGTTTTGAAAGCCGTCAGTAGGGTGAGTGGTGTACCTCTGACTCAACTGATTAACACTGTAGTTTACAGACATTCAAATTCTAGCAAGCAACTGGCTACAGTAATTTTAACTGACAGTGAGCGTCCACTTCATTCACAGCTCTCTCCTTGTATCTCCTCAGGGAGGACAAGAAGAAATTACATTAAACTGTACGCTCATTCATTGATCGTCAGACTGCGCACCTTCTCGTTGATACCTAATTGGGCTTAGTTGACCGGGTTTTTTCAGTATATGAGCATCGTGATGTGATCATTACACAAATAACATTAATTTCATTCAATGATTTTATTTATGCGCCAGTAACGAGAGCTTTATTTCTGGTTTTGGAATCTAAGATGTATACCCTATGGTGTTTAAGTCTCACAAGCTGATCTGCCTGCGCCCTAACGGTTGACGATGTTCGCATTTAGACTCTAATTTCATACAAGTCTCCACATACTATAGAGTAACCCACTAGTCTACAGATTCACGAAAATTATCTTTGCAGTCGCTTTGAGTTTTATAATTTACTGTCAAATGTCTTACTCGGGGTAAACCACCTACATGACGGTGGTTTTTAACTAGCCAAGTGTTCGCCTTCATAATTTGTTTCTTCACGTTGTAAACTGTAGCCTGAATGACTTAATACTCGAATCTTTTACGATGGCAGCGGTTGGTATCTATTCAAATAATGTAGGAAGCTTAACAAATGACGGTGCTCGTGAAAACTTCCTTTTTGACACTGGTCATTTCTTAAGACTGTTCGGAAAGAAAATTATCTTACTGAAAATATAAAGATCTCTGGTATCTCTAGAAAAATATGAATGAAAGATGAGTCATCTAATTATTCCGAGAGCAGTAAATTACTAAAACGCTGTAAATTAAGGATGAAGTTACCAATCTTCTTATTACATGACAGAGTATGGAGAGTTTACTGACAACAACCTATCACGGACTATAAATTGTGATTTTAATTTAACGAAATCTCTTCATCAATAGTTCTGTCTTCAGATTGAAGATTCTAAGTAAAAACTACAATGTTCTGTAAACCTGTTCACTTTCGGATAGGATACTCGTTAGGTTAAATATTAAGTGGATAACGAAAAAAAAGTAAGAATAAGCCTGCATAGATGGTGAAATTTATAACTGTCACTATTTGTTATTTAGAGGAGTTTGGAACGGTTAATTTAAATAATGAATACTAGTTGTGTAAGATGTTGAATGATGTGACCAGAGGCTATTCCCAATGTTCTAATTGCATTTTCTTCCCACTTGAGCTCTACACGTTCTGAACAGGCAGACAAGCAGTCAGAGACAGTGAGAGAGATAGACGGATGATACAACTGAGTATCGGTCAAAGTTCCTAGATTTCTTATGAACGTAACGAAGAAAAAACAAAAGTGGATACAACAAAGAAGTGATAATAATGACGTCAGCATCAAATTTAGGTAAACATGAGGAGTGAACACGTTCACATCACTATGATTGACTTCCAGTCACATCAAGTCACAAAATGTTGATTCTGGTCATCTTGTGTACTGTTTTCAGGAAGCTAATACTCTCATGCCCCATACCACTCTTATCAACGGTTGGAGAATGTATTGATTTATGAAATATTGTGAACATGAGTTCATTCTTATCAATTCCCTTGTCATTTATGAGTATGTTCATTTTGTTAGCTTTGATCATACTACAAATATCCTGTGATTTAGTGTGTATTTCAATTGGAAGTTTGTAGGAACTGGTTGATTTGAAAGTACTTTCCAACACAGACTGACATCAGTCTGAGGATCATTAGAAATTTGGATCAGTGATTGTCTGCTTTACCGTAGTTTGAATGAAATATCTGCCCAGTTCTCTAAAGTTTCCAATGGTCCTCAGTTTGATGTAGATTTAGTGTTCTCCTTTTAGGTGTAAGCTTAAATTTAAGAAATAGATAAATTACCTTTCCACATGAATTTGAATCAGCTGCTTATAATCCAAAAGTACTGGGACACAAGACATGAAATATGCATAAAGCTTTCATGCCTAATTTTAGTAGTAATTAAGAGTGCTACTCCGAGTACAGAAGCATTCAGCCGATATCTTCGGCGTCATGACCTAAGAACTAATAGTTTTCATCAGTTGATTGCAAACATCTTACGACAGTCACCTATTTAAGTACATTTAAGTACCAACCGAGAACCACCTTGTCTTGTTTATAAGCAATCTACATCGGCTTAAAGCAGAGCGGACATTGATCTTGTTGAAATGGTGGAGAATATTTGTAGCTAAGGTAGATGGTCTTGGTTGTGTTGTGCTCTCTGAGTTGACCCAATCTCTCAACCAATGAGAAAAGTGACAAACGACAGAAAGGTCAGAGGTTAAGCAGAGAAACAGCCAATAGGAAAATCTATACAGTCAATGATACAACAATCAAAGGAAACAGCCAATCACAAACCAGTTCGTCAGGGAAAGCTACTAAATCGCTTACGGAGAAACACTGATAGTTCACTTCATACTGAAGTTATCGTCTGGAAAGGCGATGAAAGCTCTACAACTAAACAACCCAGCTCAGACAGCACAACACAACCAAGATTGATCATGTTGCTTTATACTATCAGCATTACATTTATTCACCCAACAACGCCTTGAGTAACCTAAAACAAGAATTATTACTTTTAACCCGAACAGATATAGAAAGGTAAACATGTTTATTCTTAGCTTCAATTGTTTGTTTAATTGATTGACATGTTGATATGATATTAGATTTTATCACCATAGTAACAAAAGTATTTCGTCTATTGACAACTAAACTACATCATTTCTACAAGCATAATGCATCTTATTCTGTCTGTCTGTGTATTCAGTCTTTTACTGAAAAGTTTCACATTCTTTTTTATTGTTTATCAGTTGTATTATTCTTTTTTTTCTTCAAATTTTTTTAAATAAGAACTTGATTGTTTGGATGATGTCTGCATAAGTGGATTTCTAGCAATCACTGATGACCATCTTACTGTGAGAATGTATTCTGGAACTTCTACGAATCATCATATTGTAGGCGGCATCAATGTTCGTATCCGGTTACCTTTACACTTATTTCAGCACTAGTCTTCATTTACATTCAAAATAGAGATAAGAAGTTGACTGTTCTAAGAATAAATGGGGGACTGAAGGAGATTCAAGAGACTAACCAGTCTAGTCAATACTGCATTGAATGGGTAGACGAACCAGAGACTGAATAACGAAATAAAAGTATGCTATGAAATTATTTTGATGTTAGAAAAGAATCTTTTCACCTCGGGGTAGGATCTACTGACTCAAAAATAGGAAAAGTCTGTCAAAGTCTGGTTGTATTACTGTCGTCTAGCACTTAACCAGTCTTACATAAATCAGTGTGAGTCTGTACTCAACTAATCAGTACCCTATCTGTGTGTAAGTATTGATAACAGAAGACAAATCAGAAAACATGTTATGTGGTAAAAAGTACTTAGACAAGCAGTTTATTTATTAGTCAGCCGTAAGAAGGTTATATTAGCGAAGGAATGTTAACCGTTTATGAACGGCTAAGATAGAGACTTCGAGCTAGTTGCTGCCGATTGGCACAAGAAGACGTGAAAACGGGGGAATATCTACACACTAAAACAAGCGTACAGAACTGAAGTCACCCGTAGACGTCGCAAAACGTTATTTAGATATTAATTAGGCATTTTCAATGTTTATTCACTTACATTGATCTTGGTGATTGGCATAGGAATCTAGGACTCATGTTTCGTTCTGTTTGGGACTCGTCAGCTAGATATACGTGCACCCCAGTGAGTGATATTGTCCCCACTGAGGCTCAAACGCAGTACCCTTCGCTTCAAACGCAAGAGCGTTATCCACTAAGCCACTGGGGCAAGATAGTCACCTCTTGTACAACAGGTATCATTTACTGTAATGGTACTTGCAATTTTCCGTTACTGTACAGGTTCGACTTACTCGGCCTTTTTATTTTTAACTACCACTATTTTGACGCCAAGAAGACGTATGACAGGTCTCTAATGTGTAATATTTGTACACGATGTTGCCAAATCATGTTTTTGTGTTTGCCTTTTTGGGAATAATGACCACTGAATGTTGGATAGTTCTAGAAAAGTTCGAATTATTTACTCAACGCTGCCTAGTTTTCATTTTTTTTCTCTGGCTGGTAACAATTAGTAGAGAAAATATCTTCACAGTAATCATATTTTCACCTCTCGAAGCTAGTCATCAATGAGCATTAGATCAACCTAATTTTGGGGGTTTTGTGGGGATTTGAGATTTTTCATATTGGTATTAATCATGGACTAACATCATCATCATCATGATGAATACCAACTTGAAAAATCACTGTCTCCAAAAAAACCTAAATCAAAATTCATCCTGTGGGCTGAAGTGTTTTCAAGTTTTTTCAGTCCTACTGGATTTCTGGATGGTTAGCAAGAAGCTCTTCAGTGTTCCTTTTTTTCAATTTTGATTTCACGGGAAGTTTATTCTATGTATATTGGATCGTCATCTAAACATTTCATTTTATAAACACAATTAGATTGTCATTCTAGAGGGATCTCGTCGTTCAAATGAACTAAGGTACTCTGAAATGTGTTTGGTGTTATGTAGAACACTTTGATATTTCTGAATATCGATATGATCATTACAATCTGACAGACCAGTCCCAAGAGCCAGTCGGCTGTTTGACTAGACTAGACTTTGAAAAATATGTAACCGGGATACTAAACCACACAAACCTGATATACCAACATTCTTTTGTTACAGGCTAATCTAAGTGACGTTTTGTCTCTTTTCATTAAATTTGCGTTAGATAGCCATCAAATATTTTACTCTTTTTTACATTCTACTTCAGGTCATCAAAAGAAATTTATTATTGCCATTCGTAAACTGAATCGTCTTATACACGATCGTGTATTTTTGTCAACTGGCTGTGATCAAGTAGTGAAAACATCGCCACCGATTAATAAATCTTTTTGTCACATTGTAAAAGATGGGGCCTGCTCAAAATCGTCTAGTTCATATCCTCTCATCAGACAACAATGCCAGGCTAGTGAGGTAATTCCTTCAGTTGTTCTAATGAAGTGTAATGCAGACGGTCAACATCTTTCAAAACATAACAGTAAGTGAAATTCTTTCCAAAATAAACTTTAATCAAAGTAATGTATGCTCTAGGACTGCTTGGTGGAGTGTTTTAGTCTGTCAGAATTGACTGCTGATATACTTGAAAATGTTTTAACTTGTACAAGGAACTCCATTTAATAGGTTTCTGAAATATTACCGTGTTATGCTGATTCATGTTACACGAAAATCGTGTTAATTCGGAAAATATTAAAAAAAGTATACTATTTTCACTTTATCACCAAAAAAGTTATGTTTGCTGGAACAGTATTTAATCAAATTCACAACATATTAGTGAATATTAGATGGAAACATTACTCTCTACTTCTGAACTTTCTTCAACATCATCATGAGACATTACCTCTACTTCGGGAGAAAATTTATTATTGTCGGCCGTTTTATCCTGGCTAGGGAGTCTTTGAGAATTTCATCATATGAAGCTAAGCACATATGTGGTTCTCTTACCTCATCTACGATTGTCGTATCTATTGAAATTAACGCCGGTTCTATTTTAATACATGTTGCTCCCAAAATATAAATTATGTCAAGTTCAATAAATAAGACAGTCACAGATAAGGCTAGAGCACAGTGTGAACTAACACTGAAGTAATAGAAGAAAACGAGACTTATTTTACTTGAACAAGAAAGGGAAGCTTTTAAGAACCTTCGAAACAGCAACAATATATTAATTGCCGAATGGGATAAAGACAACTCTGTGGGTGTAATGAAGAAATCTGACTATATTTGTAAAGTCAATAAACGTACAGAAACACGACCATACAAAAAAAATTAAGAACCCATTGGGCACTATTATGAATAAGGTTAGAAACGCACAAGGAATTTCATACATACAATAAAGCCTTTTCTAGATGAGTCAAAGTGGTTTAATGTTAGTACCGAAAACTACTGATTCTAGTAGAATCTATCGCACTATTAAGATTCATAAGCCAAGTTGTCTGATCAGGTCTATAGTAGATTTTAGAAACACTCCAAATTATAAGTTGCCGAAATATTTAGCAGTGGTACCAGACACAACTAGAAACCACTGAAAATCTTGGCTCACTAACTCTTATGACTAAATGATATACAAATCGAAAACAGTGAATAAATAGTCAGTTTTGACATATAAATACACTGATCAGCATGGCTCTGCAGGCAGTTGGATATAGCCTTGAGGATGACATTGAGGTTACACATTCAACTAAGGTACTGATCAAAGAAATCATGCTAGGAGTGAGATTGTCCCTGACGTTTACTGGTTTTAATAAATAAACTGAAAGGGTTGTCGTGGGATCACCAATGTCCCTCATCATCACAGACATATTTATGCACAATGAACAACTGATATTCCTGTAAATATTTTCTCTGGCCGGAAAGATGTGGTTCTGATATACAGATGCCACATTTGCAGCACTGATATCGGGACATATCAATATGTTCATCGTAAATATGAATTCACTGATGAACTTAATTGAATTTACTTACAACTTCGAAAGTGAAGAAGGTGAGCGAGGGAGGTTAAACTAAAAAAAGATGGGAATTCAAAGCCTCCACTATGCTACCACGTGAAAAAACCATCTCAACACCAACATGAAAACCTCTCCATAAGTATCCGATTACAGCAGCATTCAAACTAACAAACTCCCTCACAAACAAGCTTCACAACTGAAAACATCCCATCAATCCAATTAGAAAAAATAATTTACTCCACCAAATCGAATCCAGTGATTGAGAGGTTGAGTACATATGTCGAAGTATCCTAGTCGATTAGGTTAAATTACAATAACACATAACGGAAGATTGGCTGAATCAAGATGAGTAGATCATCAGAAGATGAGGAGTTTGGAGAGAAGAGTTCGACTACAGCCATCCACACTATTGCACAAACTCACGAAATGGGGTGGGATAGAGTGACAGTATAGAAAACTTACTTAGTTGTGTGTAGGGAGATGTTGACAGCTCTTTGTTGACAAATCTTTGTTTATCGAATCAGCACAGAATACATGGAGCAGAAATGATTCTCCATCTGTCACACATATATGAATGATACTACTACTACTACTACTACCACCCTAACCATCACGAAGGAGACAGGATTACAACTGTGTGATGTATGTCTGAGAGCTGTGGAGATGCCTGACATGAATATGGAATATGAATATATTGTCTGAAATGTTATCCATTAAATTATACTATTTTGGACTGTGACATTTCTAATAAACAGACTAAAATATAGTTTTTCTATATAGTTTGTTTATGATTGGTTTATTGTTCAAACCTGAAACCAGTATGGAGATCTTCTGCACTCAGCATAAAGAACAAGGTCCGGATTCTCAACACTAAGTTAGTCTAGTCAGTGCTTCTATATGATTCAGAGACTTGGCGCGTTACGAAAGGCATTTCCAACAAACTGCAAACATTCATGAACAACTGCCTACACTCACTCGTTACTGAGGCTCAGATGGCCAGAAAGAATAAGCAACAAGGAACTTTGACTGGCTGGCAACGAACTAACCAAGATGCTATCGCTCAACACATATGCACGGGAAAGAAGTGGAGATGGATTGGGCATACACTGAGAAGACCATTCGGCGACATCACGCACCAGGCCAGGCACTCGAGTGGAATCCAGATGGGAAACAGCGAGTTGGGCATCCGAAGAGAGGGTGACATGGAGGAGATGCTGTAAGAAATAAATGAGAGCTTGTGGGTTGTCGTGGAGCCAGGTTGAAAAGATTGCAGAGAAGAGAATGGACTGGAGACATGCTGCTGAAGCCGTATGTTCCACTAGGAACCCAAGGGAAAATAAAATAATAAAGTCGTTCAAACATTCATCTGATCAGTTGCTCTTACAAGAGTATACATACTAAATAATCACTCAAACTATTATCAAAATTAAGAAAGCAAATCAGTAGATAAATCTCTTTTTATAAATTCTTGTTTCTAATGAATTCGCTCCATTTGAATTAAAAATGTTGAGAAAACATTTTCGGTTCAACTGACTTCACTCAAATATCGAAACAGACATATTTGAAAGACTATATCATAATAGATTGACTATGGTTTCCTATAATATCCACTGAATATAACGCAGTGTTTTTCTGATAGTTTTTTGAGCGGTTATTCCGTCAAAGAAAGCATTTTGATGAAAAGATTCACATTTGGTATGAGGCAAAGACATTTTTGTAGAGTTATGCATTCTTAAATATTTAGTTGGACGAGTTTTAAACTTCGATGACAAGCTTGACATTTGGCTTGAATTTTAACCACTTCATTTCAGTAGCAGGACTGTTTCTTATGTCCAGCTGAATGACTATAAAGAGAAAGAGTTGCCAGCGAGTCAACTGAAAATGTGTGTTATTCCATTATGGAATAAACTCCTCCTAACTCAAAAAAACATTTAACCAAAATACTGTCTGTATAAACTATAGGGAAAATACTGGAAAGCCATTTCGTCCCACTTGTATGGGACTCCTCAGCAGTGCACAACCATGATTCCGACCCGACAGAGATCGAACGCAGGACCTTCTGGTCCCAAAGCCAACACGTTGCCATTGAGCCACTGGGCTGAAATCCAATGGTCCGTATTTCCAACTTCTGGTGGCCGTGAGGACAAATCCTCAACGATGATACTAGGTGATGGTCACATTATATCGTGAACTGACAGAAGTTGGAAATAGGGACCACTGGATTCTGAACCAGCAGCTCAATGGTAACGTGCTGGCCATGGGACATAAAGGTCGTGTATTTGATCTCTGGTGGGGCGGGGTCATGAGTGGGCACTATTGGGGAGTCCCATACGAGTAGGATGAAACAGCAGTTCAGTGCTTCCAGGTTTTTATGTTCCCCCAACTAATATCAGTTCATAATGAATACCAACTCGAAAAAGCGCCTTTCCTCATATATGGGTGATGTAACAGTAGTTGTGACTTACAAAATGCATGCAAGATGTAAGGATTCTTTCGGTTGTCGTTCATGAATTCTATGAACTAAATTCTGATTGATACTAGTACTGGAGTAACAACACATCCTTCGTTACCTCAGATATAGTAGCGGTATTATCATTTAACCACCTGGTTATGCCGTCTTGCTAACAGCTAGTTGGTATCCGTTGTACAAAATATGTTCTTGTATGCTACATAATAATAATCAAAATACAAAGGAGCGTTGTTATTGATATTCCTAGCTTCGAAAAGGCAAATTTGAGAGACTTATGCCTAAACGGATCATTTTCATCAAACTTAACAATAAACTAATCTGTTCTACTCTCCACTGTTTAACGCAAAACAGGGCAAAATAGTCATCGGAAAGCATTTCAGGTGGTTGAGTAAACTGGCAGAGTTAAACGCATAGATAGCTACTTATAGATATGGCTTTAGTGATAAAATATTTGACAAGTGGATTTGCATAAAAAATGGATTACTCTCAGCCACAGAAACAACAACAACAACAACAGCAAAAGACATACAGAAACTTTGTACAAGAATATGATTCTTGGTATCTTGGAGGATGATGACCGAAAAATGCAATATCGTTTTATTTGAATCGGAACAAACGTCAGTATTACAAAGAATACTTTCATTGTCAATAATCCTTTTAATCCATACACCAACTGACAAAGTCTTTAGAGCACAATTTATCCCTTTTTATTTGATTTCTTTCTCTTAAAGTAGTTGAAAGATATGAAGAAAAAGGAAGAAAATCCTTCAGAATGAACAAGTGTTTACACATTTTAAGACTGAGAGAGACTGAAAACTAGCTGAGTGATTAAAGTGTGAAATTGCATTATACTATGGTCATGAATTTTTTAAGGTTCCTTAAGAAGTAAACGGTTACTTGAAGCTATTAGATTTACGTTACACTCATCCAGTTGTAATGATATTTCAGAAATAGCCGGGAGGGGAATGCACTACAATACTTAGGTTACCTTACCAAGACTCATCATCAAGCATAATTGTTGCAGCTTGAATAGTACATGGGTTTGTGAAAATCCCACTCTGG